ACGCATATTGAATTGGGAAATGACAGACAGACCAACGCGTGAAGACTTCTCTACTGGTTTCTTCAACAGCACATGGAATAAGGTACAATCTTTTATGTCTTGATGGGACATACATTTATAATACACTATAATTCATTATGATACATCAAACATACAGTTTTTGTACATCTTTGATACATCTAGGACTGAAGCACTTTTGGTTACCTTTGTAGTTTAAAAATATTTCTCCGACAATTGAAGAGCTCAGAAGATTTACTTTGCCTGTTGAAGTTACCGATGAGTATCAGAAATATTTTACATCACGTAACAGGGGAAAACTTCCTATTGATGATAGCGATGATTTTGTCTCGCCACCCCCGAAACACATTAAGGAGCCTGTCCCACCAAAAAAGGCGACAAAAAACGTGCCAGGCGTCCAACCTGTTGATTATGACCGTGAGTTGCAGAAGTTGAAAGCTGATGTGAAGCATGTAATGGTCTTTTTCATATATTTTTTTGAAATTATTTTTCAAATTGTATATTCAAAGTCTATTATCTTTTTTATTTGTTTCTTCTTGTAGCTCCATAAGCAGTTAAATTCCTTCATGGAATATGTTTCTGATAAATTCAAGGAGGTGTTTGAGTTGATAAATTCCAAGGTATGTGTTTCTTTTCCGTTGTGCATTTCTTTTTATTTTTTAGTTAACTTACTATATCCTTTTTTAAAAAATAGCTTGGTGCAAGCGAAGTCAATTATGGTGCACATCCAGAGGAAGACACCAGTGGTCGTCAAGACAATAATGATTTTGTGAGCAATATGGAGTTTGGTGGCAATGAAGATGTTGAAATGGATGGTTGTCAGGTGTGTTTAGTTGTGCATTCTGTACTTTTCCCTTTTCTTTTCTTTGTTGTTTTTGATAATTCGATTCTTTTTTAAAAAAATAGGTTGGTGGAAGTGAATGCAAAGATGTTCCACATTCTCAAAGAGATACTAATGTAGCAGATCAGTTAGGTGTCAATGCTATGGAAGGACCTTCTGGTGTGAAAGTTGACATGTTTGTTGCTAAAGTAACTTTCACACCAGATGTAGCACATGCTGGCGGTATTGGTGAGATTGCAGATGCGGTGGCATGGGAGACGGAGGAAGAATCTGAGAAACAAAAGGTTGCTGAATCCCAGACTGGTGATGTTTGTGCGACTGCAAGTGTTGATGCGGCGCCAGGGGAGACAAAGGAAGAATCTGAGAAACAAAAGGTTCCTGAATCTCTGACTGGTGTTGTTTGTGCGACTGCAAGTGTTGATGACGCGACAGGGGAGATGGTTCTGTACAATACTGAATTACTTCCTGAAGTATCACCGCAAATGGAAAAAAGAAAGAGATGTCCTGCAAAGGCAGTGCAGTCTCCGTTCATTACTGTGTTTGATTCAGGTTCCAGGACTGGTGTTGTTGCAGCGAAAGCAAAAAAGCAAATTTATGCTATTAAGCATCCTTTTCAAAGCAAAATCGGAACTGGTGTTAACAGCTCTTTGTTGAATGCTTTTGCTGCGTGGGTCAAAAAAGGGAAGTCCAGAAAGAAGTATGTTTCCAACTTCTGATTTTTTTTCAGTTTTATATTTTAATATATTGTCACTTATATAATTATTTTATATCAATAACTGTACTCTTTTGTGTATACATGTTACCAGGAATGAAATTTACCCGAAGCATGTTAGTGAACTCAATCCTGCTTATGATCTTGTTATATTTCATGTTGAAGACAAAAACTGGTTTTACACTTTGGCATTTAATGGTCAGCCCTTGGATGACTCGGTATGTAAGAATTTACTTTTGCAGTATTTTTCTTTTAAATTTTAGCCAGTGTACACATGAACACTCAGTCCTGTTAAGTTAGCAGTGAGCATTTATTTTCCTTTGTTTTCTGTGATTTTGGTTTGAAAAACTGTAGCTGCTTAAAGCTTTCGAGCGCGTTTAGTGATTAGTTATTAGTTATGTTTTGTTTCAGCACATTGATGTTTTGTTCTATTATCTGAGGAAGAAGGGGAAGTATGACAAAGACCTACCTGTAACATTCACCACCACAGATTGGTACTTCGACGAGAAAATTAATGAGTTATGGCAGCCGTTTATTGATACAGATGGAGACAGTGATGTGTGCAATCCGAAACATGTCATTGCAGAGTATATTCAGGGGTTTGTTTTGGATGTCAATGTTCCATGGTACACTGTCGAGCATGTCTTAATGCCAATTAATATTGCAGAACAATGGCATTGGATAATGGCTGTGATGTCCTTCAAGGATAGGTGCATTTATGTGTATGACTCTATGCGCGGTGGAGCTGCTCATCAAGCCAAAGTTCATAAGGCCATGTCCAAGTATTCTGTGTTGCTGCCTCATTTTTTTCGTGCACACGCATTTCTATTTAAACAAAAAAGATATCAATTGGCGCACTGGTGTCTACAAATCAAAAGACTTGATTACCCCCTTTGATGTAAAATTGGTTGACGGATTGCCTCAACAAGTCGAAGCGTATGAATTTCTTTCAACACAATCTGTTTTGCTTTTAGATTCTGCAGTTTGATAGTTGTCGTTCTTTTTATTTTTGCAGTGATTGCGGTGTATTTGCGGCATCATTTGCCGAGTATTTCATTGAGGGCAAGACGCCTCCTAAAAAATTCAATGCCTATGCACACTGGCGCAGATTTGGTGCTCTCTTGTGGGATTATGCTAGAAAGAAGATGGAACTGAACGCGCAAAGTGATGATGATATTATTGGTCGACAGAATAAGGCGGGGAAGCAGAAGAAGTAGTTACTTTTGTCATTGTTGTAGGATGAACTCTATAATTTTGTTTTTTGTATTCTGTTCTGTTATGTTGTCATTATTGGAAGACGGATCGGATTTGTTTGTGTTTGAATTTTATGAATACTTTTAAGAATCGTATGGCAAATGAGATGTTTGTTCTGTTATAAAGGTTTAATGAGTTTCAGTGCGATATTGGATTGTTGCAGTTTAGTTTATTTTGGTGTTTTCTCCCTTGATTTTGTGTTGTGAATTATAGATAGGATAAATATACGGTAGTTTGTGATACAGTGTCTCTTGCAGATACACGCATGATACATACATGATACAGATATGATACACATATGATACAGATATGATACATAAATGATACACAGTTTTCAAATATGTATTGATGAGGCCACTTATATTTGCAAATTTCTAAAACTATTTTGCATAGTTTTCTAGCTGCTACGACTGTTTTCCATTAGTTAGCTTTGTTACTACACAAATGCAGGCATGAGTAAGAGCCTATAAATAGAGATAAATAGTTGATACACAAGTGATGCATAGATGATACAAATGTGTTGCACAAGCGATACATATATGATACAAATGTGATACATAGCTGATACAACTTCTTTTTAAATCAAACAGATGTATAATATAAACTTGCAACACGATTTTAAATGATAGGTCAAATATTTATTTATATCTAAAATTCAAATGACATTCTACAATGATATAGTTCTTGATATATTGCATTCTTCTAAATCTCTATGATATTCAGTAAAGTAAAATAACAAGTAATTCTAAATTTGACATATTTCATCCTCTCTTTGGATTATTTCTACAAGTTTTTCTGTTGTGACCTTCTTCTCCACACTGTCCACATTTAATCGACCTTTTTCGTTCCCTTTCAGATATTGGCTTGCACCTCCCCTTTATTGGCCTTCCTATTGTTTTTGTCACATCTGGTGGCAAGACTTTTTCATTTAGAACTTCTGCAGGAATTTCCCATGTGCTTTCATCAGGAACCGGATAAATTGGAATTTCATAGGTCTTCAATAGGTACTTCGTGGTGTAGTACACCGAGCAATACTCAATGTGATCAATGTGTTTGTATTTTAATACTGCCCAACCATGTGAACATGGCAGCTCATCCAACTGAAACCTTCTACAGCTGCAAGTTCGATCTTTTAGGAACACCATTCTCTGCTTACCCTTGTCAAGTACTGAATATAAGTAACTCGTCGAAGGGGTCACCTACAAAATTTATCAACTATCATTAGTGGTGACAAAGCAGATGCCCTCAAAATACATATACTAGAGAGCCTACAAGATTAAAATAGCTTAATATCATGTCAAACCAAGCAATATTTCAGGAGTGGGGTAGGCATAAATGCTACATTAAATTGAAAGCCTTTGCTTTTGTGCAGGTGGACACTAGTTTAACAGAATCACACAAAGGGTTCAAGATATAACAGATCCGTAAATTCGGAATGATTACATATTCTATGCACAAGTATCTACAGATTCCAGTCATACCTTCATCTGATGTGACAATTCAAGATTGTCCATCAGCATTGTATCATATTTTTTTCCAAGATCAGTGAATGACTCTACTGCATTCTTTAGGTCTGTAACATTCCATCGTCCGATCAATTGCCTTATGTAGTCTTGCAAAGGCAGTACTGGGAGTTCCCTAGCAGCCTTGAGCGCTGCATTGATCGACTCCGCAATGTTTGAAGTCATTGTCAATGTTCTGTTGACAGTGGAATATGCTCTCGACCATCTTTCATACCCAACATTCATTAAGTAATCTTTGACCCTCTTATCAATTTTCTCTACCTTGCCATGTGGTAATCAAACTTCTCAACTGTGTATGCTTTGGCCATAGCAAAGAATATGTCTTTGAGCAGCAAATGGTTTTTTTTTTGTAATTTTTTTGTACATTATTCCATAGATGCCATATGCAGACACAATGAGGTACTTGTGGATACAATGTTGCCGCTGCATTTTCAATGCCTTTATGCCTGTCCGAGACTATGCACATTCCCTTCCTTTCCCCAAATGCATCCTTGAATCTCGCAAAAAACCACTCCCAGGAAGCATTATTCTCTGAATCTACTATAGCATATGCGAGTGGTAGGATATTACCTGCTGGATCTTGTGTTGATGCTATCAATAATGTTCTTCTATATGCCGATTTAAGAAAAGTTCCATCTACAACAACAACCGGTTTGCAATACTGCCATCCTTTTATAGACGGATATAGTGCAACGAAAGCATACATGAACAAGTCTTCCTCTGTTTTTTTCAAATTTACCACCGACATAGGATTTGTAAGAACCAGCATATAAAAGTAGCTTGGCAGCTTTTCATATGATTCGCTTGGGTTCCCTCTCAGTACTTGAACTGCATATTCTTTCGATCTCCATGCTTGCATATATGTCATCTGAAGACCATACTGCTTGTTCATGTCTCCAATTATGTCATTAGGAGTGTATATTGTTTTTGGGTCTTTATACTTGTCTATCAGAAGACTGCCGATGAGTTTTGCAGTAGCTTGACGTTGTGCGTAAGATCTGTCTTTCAGGGGGCATGAGTGCACTTTGCTGAAATTTCTGACCTTGAAAACGTTTGCTTTTTTCAGGCTCGAAGACTTAAAATACCAATCACAGTTGTTGTTGATGCATACTAGGCAGTACCTACGACAAGGATATAAACTTTTCCATCAATAAACAGAGCGACATGAAATACAATGATACATAGTGATACACACTGCAATCAACAATACTAGATGAAAAAATACAACGACTATACAGTACTAGACGGTGACAACCACAATTTAAAAGTGTACAGCCACATACTTACAAGCAACAACTTATTTTCTGCATAATTATGCTTCTAACATCAACTACGATATACATTGAGATACATAATTATACAATAAAAATTTTGATACCTGCTTTCACTTGATCTATGCACCTTAAACTGAAATTTTTCCTTTAATGCCAAGTGCTTCATGACTTTGATTATCGTTGCCTTGTCTTTATAAATTTGACCTTCTTCTACATCTGTGTGTTGAGGGTCAGTTATTATTGTATTTTCATCAGATTCTGTATCATTCCAGTCTTCTCCATCCCCAAACTCGATCATCTTAATTGTATCGCCATTGTATCTCTCCTCTACAACTGAGCTTTGTGCACATTCTGAGGAAATCACAGCAGAATTGGAATTGTAGCAGATCATGTCCATATCCTTTTCACTCGATGTTATACAAAGGGGATACATTGTAAATTCTGAGCTTTTTTTCAGCTCAAGATATACACATAGACCCATACTATTGTGTATCACTATTGGCGGAGAACTGTTTTGGACAGTGTATTTGATTTCAATATCATTCAATGAAGTATCTGTCTTAAGTTGTTTCGAAATCACGTCTACAAAATCTTCAAAACTTATATTTGGAGTAACTACTACAGCGTCTGCATTATAATCTACAAAGCTGTTGTCAACATTCCATCGGCCACCATACTGAATAAAAATTGGTAAATTTGCCATAGAAGTAGCTGAAATTAGGTCAAAACTCACTAATTCCTTGATTGATTGTGATTGCAGTTCGTAGTTCCTTCTACACAGAAAAATTGCAAAAGCTGTATCTACACAGAAATTGCGAAGGTATATAGTGAAATTGATCGATTTTGAGTGAAATTTGGAGCTCATTTTGAGAATTTTATGAGAGAGAATGCCGCGATTTACAGAGGTAGAGAATGTCGTGATCTGTTAAATTGATACACACAGGGAAGGAAGGAGGATTTTTAGCGTGATTCTCGGATAGAAGAATCCTTCCTTACGTGTATCTCTAAGTTTGGGCTACTTTTGGTAAGTGTCTAATTTTGGGCTACAACTCGGTAAGTTTGTATTTAAATTGGCTATTTCTGTACTTTTCCCTGTATTTAATCCATATATATTGGACTGATATAATTAATTCAATTATATTAGCCTAATAAATTTATTTGAACTAATATATCTTGAATTTAAAATATAGTCCAAAATATTTTATGAATTTAATTCCAATAAATTTTATATGCCTACAATTAACATCATTTATTTTTCCCTTCTTTCATTATTCACCGACTAATTGCATCTAATAAGTGGGCGTTTGGACATAAGAATTGTGAAATTACGGAAAAAAACAAAATTCAAGTGAAAATAATATTTGAAATTAGAGTTGTGTTTGGATATAAATATAATTTGGAGTTTTTTAAAATATTTTTGTGAGTGATTTGAAGTGAAAATTTTGAAAATCAGTTTTTTGGAGTTCTTCAAATTTTTAAAAAATTTCGAAATTCAACATCAAGTGAAATTTAAAATTTTTATAGCCAAACACTGATTTTAAAAATGTAAAAAAATTCCAAGGAAAAGTAAAAAATTTCTTATGACCGGCCCTTGTATTTTGTTTTAAAGAAAAAGGAAAAAATAACTCCCTCCTCCTTGAGAGAATTAGAGGGACCGCATACTCACAAATTATTTATTGTTACATATGGGATGAGTCCTATATAAAAATGACACGTTGCTGCCTATGGACAGATAATAGTAAAAGAAAAATTACCTTAAAAACTCGTGCGTATAGCATAGCATTATGTGATTAATGAAGTGGGAAAGGTCTTGAGAGAAGAGGCTAAGACACCTGTATTGATAAAATAGAGAGTGTGATGGGATCGTTGGATTATTTAAGAATGAAAGAAGTTTTTGGTAAAGAGCTTTTACGCTCTCAATTGATCTAAATTCAAATTATTTTAATCAGTAAATTTTAAAAATTGAATGATTAAACTAATAAATAAAGTTTGATAAATTAACTGAAGTACTAAGTAAGTTAATTCGAACATATCAGTGTGCGAAGAAAAAAAATAAGTACTCCTTCTGTTTATTTTAACTTGTCCAGTATTCTAAAAATAGATTTTCATTTTTACTTATCACTTTTAGGAGAAGATAATTTTTTTTATTATACCCATAATATTAATTACTCATTTCAAATTTTTTTTTTAATTTCATTAAAAATATGCATTAATTAATATGAGTATCAATTGAAAAAATGTGTAACGTCTAAAAGTTTGTTAGGAGGGGTGATGATTTATGATATCTGAAAACAAGATGCTACTTATTAGGTAATGCAAAATTCATTGGCAAAAGCCGTCCATGGTTTTATTTGCTTCGTGTGTCGGGAAGATTTGCAAATGCGCCCTTGACTTTTGGTATCTCACTTTTAAAACATCCTTTTCAAGAAATTGTAGAATCCAATACTTAACTAGTCTAATGCACGTTTTATGAGTTTAATTATTCCATAGTTACAAGGTTCAAAAGGTAAAATGAACAAACCTAAAGGACTATGGTGCAAATATTTTGTAAAAGCAATTATAAAACTGGCAGAGTAAAAAATGCATCAAAGGGAAAGAAGATAAAATTGGCTTTTAAATTCGTCACTTCACGAATTGAATATACATATACTTGTTTAAGAATCTTACTTTACTTGGAAAAGATAGCAATTCCAATTTTATTGAAGCCATTCTCTTTCTCGTCCATTTGAGCTTCTGGGTATGCTTCAAATCCATCTTTTGTCTCATTTCTTGTGTATAAATTTGATCTTTTTGTCTTAAAGATGGTGGGTTTGTTAAAATGAAGATATAGTATGATTCAAAAACCTGCATTTCTTGTGATTTTGTAGCTGTTATGTGCTCTTGAACTTGAAAATTATCTTCTTGGAAATGTTAGGCGTCTTTATGAGGTTGATTGGTTGAACTTTAAAAGTTTCTTGCTTTTACTTTTTCTTAATGTTACTACATTTTGAGTGAATCCACGTTATAGAAAAGAAGAGGAAAATGAAGACCATCTTATTATTTTTTTGTTAAGTGGACTTGTGGTGTTTCAGAAATTTGGGTGTGGATTAGGATTTAGTCCTAATGATGAGGTGTTCATGCTATTGCGTGTGGTTTATAAGTAGTCATTATTCTACTGGTTGATGAGTTTGTTTTTGACACGAAAGGTTTACTTGTCTTTTGTGCTGAATTGATGGTGTTATTCACTGAAATTTGGCAGGTTTATAAATGACAAAGGTACAAACTTTTGTGGGTTTTGAGTAGGTTTTTGTGAAGAGTAGTTGTTTATTGGCCGTCTGGCACATCAGTAGAGATGTTTTGTTTCTTAATATCTTCTACTATCACTGTCAGAGCTGATATGCTTGTTATTTTATATAAATATGTCTGAAATAATTGTCCGCATGATTAGTTGTGGAAGGCATCAGATCAGAATTTGCCCCTTGGTATTTAGGAAAAACCAAGAAGTGGTAGAACAGAGGTTAATCGTTTATGGTATTTATAATCTGAAGGAACATATTTAAGGATTAATTCTTCCTAGGTTGTTAAGCATTTTTGCAACTTCTTCTAAGTTGACTGCTGGATTTTCAGGTCAGGCTATTATTTAATCATAAGCTTATTTTCTGGCATTTATTTCCTGAGGAATGTAAAATCTTATATGAAAACTAGGGTTATACTGAAGTTAGCAGGTTCTTGGATTCTATGCATAAGGTTAACATTTGGATCTTGGATCAACCTACAATTGATTATTGGTTCCTTCTGCTCATACCACGTCCGGGTGAACTCATGAATTTGAGATAAGGTTGCAACCGTCCTTGATTATTTCGTTTTTCCTGCCCTTTTAGGAGATATTCTTGTTTACTTGTATGTGTATAAATGGAAGTGTTCAGTCCTATGTTCTGGGATTCAGGTATGGATATATTTGGTAAGGTGTCAGTATGTGTATCCCTTTAGCCGGCCCAACTTAGCAAGTTTTACTGTATTTAGAAGTATATCAATTGTTCAATCTAGGTATGCCAAAGGAATTGAAAAGTCCATGTAACATAGCTTTAGAAGTTGTTTAAAGTTCGGCATTCAGACAATGCCTATTATATGGTAGATTTCTCCGCCATCTTATTTAATGTCTTGGCATATTGTCACTGCCTCCCTTTGTTCTCTTAGAGATGGCTGTTACGATAAGGTTACAAGTAACATCCATTAAACATGCAGAATTAAGATGATAACTTAAGCACCAAACCAAAGATGAAGGATTGCTTTGGCGTCCATTGTCGTTCTAAAAACTTATAGGATGTCTCCATCCTTCAAGTATTTGTTAGGTTTACTTCGCTGAGCTGTAGGCACCAGCTCCTAAAATGCTTCCTCATATCAATTTGTGTGGAATAGTGTCCTCCTCTCCTAGCTTACACAAGTTACTATATCATTTCCTTGAAGTTGTTGAGTTTGTGTAGCATTAACTTCTTAGAGTAGCAAGATCAGCTATTGTCGTTCTCTGATCCAGTTAGAAGACTCCTTTTCTTGTATGTGCTGAAGAGTTTCAGGTTTCATATATTGTACTTGTTTTGGTTTTATACTTTGATATGTGATGAGTGATCTCAGTTTCAGGATGAATTTTCCCCTCAGAAGAGCTCTTCTCGCTCACTACAATATGGACTTAATAATATGCTTTGAGAATATTGGAATTATATCCCTTCCGATTACAATCCTTGAATAGGGGTCATGAGAACAGCTTCATAGCAGAACTCTACTTGCTGATGAAATTCATTGGAGAAACAACTGGTACCTATTTGATGTTTATTTGGGTTAATTGAACCCTCTTCTGTGGATTCCTCTAGTTCTGGTTTTACTATTGTGTTTGAGGACTACCTGAAGTCAACTTGTGTCCTAATAAGATTACTTTCGGAAATGGATGCGTTATTAGTAGGAGTTGGCATATATTTGGAAATTGCATAGTCAAAAAGTGTCAATGGCTGGTATTCTTTATGTGATAAATGCTTGTCACTAAATTGATGACGTATATGACATAATTGCTGAAAATTTCAATGCAGGACTGTGAAATACCTCTTTAAGCTTATATCTTTTGGTTCATGAAGCTTTTGAAGTACAAGATATAGTAATCACAGGGTTAGAGTTTGCTGTCCGATCATTTACAATGTCTATGTTAACAAAGTTACGCTGCATCACGCTTGATGTTACTGGTACACTCATTGCTTACAAAGGAGAGCTGGGTGACTATTATTGCATGGCAGCCAAAGCTGCTGGGAAGCAATGTCCTGACTATAAGCGGGTTCATGAAGGTTTTAAGCTCGCATATACAGAAATGGCACTGAAGCACCCATGTTTTGGATTTGCTGAAAAGATTCCTAACATTGTGTGGTGGAAAACTTGTGTCAGGGATTCCTTTGTTAGGGTATTGTACATGACATTATCAAGCTTTTCAGTATATTCTATAACCTTATTTCCGAAACTACATATTCATTCGGAAATACAGTAGCAGAATTACTAAGTAACTAACCTTCGACGATTCCAAAATTGTGGTTTCATATCTAAGCGTTAGTAGTTGTTTCATTTAGTACTGACATTAACCATCTCTTTTTGACAGGCAGGATATGAATATGATGAGGAGACATTTGAGAAGATATTTAGACGCATATATGCTACTTTTGGTTCTTCTGCGCCTTATAGCTTATTTCCTGATTCTAAACCGTTTCTCAGATGGCTCCGCGAGAGGGGCATTACGGTTGGGCTGGTCAGCAATGCCGAGTATCGGTATCAGGACGTAATTCTTCCTGCTTTAGGTTTGCATCAGGTAGATAAACAAGAGCACTGATTTCATTTAGCTACATTGAATTTTCTTCTGACCATTTTTGGCTGAGCTGTTAATCTTTTTCCACAAACACTGACCATCACAAAGTAGTTGTGACCCCCTTTTTTGTGTGTGACACTAAAAATCAGGGATCTGAGTGGGACTTTGGCGTATTCTCCGGTCTTGAAGGTGTTGAAAAACCCGATCCAAGGTTATTTGAGATTGCATTGAAGAGAGCAGGAAATGTAGCACCGGAGGAAGTACTTCATATTGGAGATAGCATGAGGAAAGACTACTTGCCAGCGCGAAGTGTTGGGATGCATGCTTTGTTATTGGACAGATTTAAGACTGCTGATGCTGTCAATTGGAGAAAATCTGGTGCCACTGTGCTGCCTGACTTGACCGCCACCAAAGACTGGCTTATTTCTGAGGAATTGAAATGCAGTGACATGTAAACTTTGTTTGATTACTTTCTTGCCTTTAAAGGTGATTTGTATTACAAGAATGGGAAAATGAGTTATGAGTTCTATGAATATGATGAGGATGGATTTGGTTCAATTTGCCACATGCTGTCTTATATCATCTTGTCTATTCTTCTTTTCTTGTGGCAAGCATTCCTACTCCTAGGTTAACTATAGTGCAACTAACTGTTGATTGACAAGTGTGTAACATACACAACCTGCACAATTACAAGAGCCTATTTTCATCTGCAACTGTCAAATGGACCTGGTGCGCAAGTTTTCGGCAGTTTTTGATTATCCAATTGTGTAGATTGAAAACGAGCAGTTGATTCCGCACAAGCAGTCTTGCTCTGATGTGGATTCAATTAAAATTCTAAGAAGTGAGGTAAATTGTCTTTTTGTTTCGTCACTGGTGATGAACTTAGTATGCTATTCAACGTTAATCTCAGGGTTTTTGCTACAGTGTAAGCGGTTATTCAAAGCCAGAGTCTTGATTCTTCATACCCCAAATTAAATTTGTCAAGTGCTCAACGGGGTACATCCTTATAAAAGTATACATTATGTGTTTGTGAATGTGACTCTTTAAATTTGTAAATTTGAGTAAAGTGTTACAAATCAATTGTCTCCTTGTAATCGAATTAGCACCCTAAACTCGGTTTCTAGCCCGTTCATGCGTCTCCTCCCCTTCAGATTGTTCTACATTAGTTGAAGGATTGTGCTATCGTCTCCTTATATGATCTTTAGTGATCTCACCAATGAGCTAACTTTTAGAGTTGATACATTTCGATACATAAGTAGTAGCGTAAAACAGTTACTTCATTTCTGTAAGCAATCTTCACTCTTTATGTTAGGTTAAAACGGCTCAAAGATACTCTTAAAATGGTGTGATATTGTCCGCTTTGGGCCAAGCCCGCACAGTTTACCACGAAAGGCCTCACACCATTAAGAGATCCCTACACCTTATATGTAGACACCCAATCTTTTCAGCTACCAATGTGGGACTTTGTTCGCACACCCAATAATCTCCCCCTCGAACTAAGTTCCACGTGGCCCATTACCACGATTCACGGGTCAATTTTCGAGGTTCACTACGTGCCACCCACATTGTTAGAGTACTATGGCAACCGAAGCCCGCAACTAGCTTCTTCTTGTATGTGCACCGCCCCGCACCATCACTCCGCCATCTCCATACTCGTTCCGCTGAACCTGGGCTATGATACCAGTTGATGGAAAACAAGTATGAACAGCGGAAGCAAATAGCCAGGATCACTTGCATGTAATATAGACAACACATAATCATAGATTTTAATCAAACATAAAATCGATACTTATCTCTTGAAGCGTGACTGCAATCGCCAAAAGACCTTCAAGCATGAGCAAACACCATCCACGAGGTCATCCTCCAGTTCCACGGCCTTCTGCTGTGTGACCCGAATAATGACAGGAATTAGCGAAACTCGTGTGGGCGAGTTTCTCCTAGGAAAACCGTGTAGTAAAAACTCTTCTCTCCTTATGGAATAAGACCTCTTTATATAGCCACAGGTTTTAGGGTTTAAAACATTTTCCTAAACCTGTTGGGTCTTCCTTTTCCATCAAGAAATATAATTCTATTTAATTCTTAATTATTCGGTCACAGCAGAGACCGCAGTATTTAATTAACGAGGCTTCCTATTATGGACTTAATTTGAAATATCCAAATTAATACTACCATAATAAATTATGAATTATTCCACTAAAAATTCGTAACTGCACTCCTCAGTTCAAATTCAAAATTCTTCCATTAAACCTTGTTTAACTCCCCATGTTAAGATTCAAATACTAATCGAATAAATTAAATTACTGACAATCTAATTCATTGATTATTTCCTTTAGACTTTCGCTTAACTTATTTCATGTGACGGATACAAAATCCACCTGCAGGGTTTACACATGAAAACTTATAAGCTTTCATAAAGGTGTATCATCAATCTCTAGACCGAGACATAGATTCCATCAACTAACTATTACTTTGCCAATGTATATCATTATTGTCCAATTTAACAGGCATATTGACCCAAGAAAGAATCTTGCCTTTTAATAAATCAAAACAATAATAATATACACAACTAATAATAATTATATCAAGATTAAGAGTATAAGTACATTTAAATGGGTAGAGAATTTATTTTATTAAGTCAGTATAAAATACTTATCTCTACTTGGTCCGTTCAATACATACAAAATGTACTAGCACAAGAAGTCGGAATTAGACAATTCCCATAATCAAGATAAAATACATTTAATCTTGTGCTACAATCATTCCTGATGGTTTGTCCAATTCCATCACTAGATTGTGAACATGATCTTTATACTTACAAGAACCGATGATTTAATCTTCTGTGTATAAACTAAACTCTATACACTAAATCATCTACTATATAAGTAAAGGACACAAACGAATATATGATCTATTTAAAACTTTTATTAAAATTGAATAAACAATTGTTCCATAATAAATACTATATCCAAACCAAAATTCATGGTTAATAGTATATATCCCAACAATCTCCCACTTAGACTTTTAACCATGACAAGTATTAGAATATACTATATCTAAATGCATGATTAATAGTATATGCCCTAACAATCTCCCACTTAGACTCATAACCATGCATCTATAACTTTCACAGCTATCCTTTTGTATGACTATTAAAAGTCTTTGCCAATAAGCTTTTGCAAAAAGGAACTTGCCAAGTTATTTTCAAATGCAATCTTTGTCTAGTAGTGCTTTGTCGTAACTAACTAGTTTGGTACTAAACTCTTCAGGGATCCTGTTATCGAAACTATCCTAAGAGTGTACACCGAACTATGATTTTTCTTAGTATTCTCCCACTACGACGAAGTACTACTAATATTACCTTCATTACCTTACGGTATTGAAATATTAGCTACTTCTTAATATAGTGTTTACTGTTTAAACATCACTCCCACTCGACAACGGTATATTTTGTCTATTAACGTTCTCCCACTACTTAAATGCAATGGAACGTGAATTTCGATGTGTGGGTTTTGATGTTCTTGAACATCTAGTTATTTCTTTGCCTAGTTCCTGTAAAATTAGTTTACTTCTAGGAACATGGTTTATTGAACAATCCTTATCTAGAAAAATGCATTTGTTTTAACAATTGCCTTATTTTCTTTAGGACAATAAAATAAACCTCCATTGGTTTTCTTGGATATTCAATAAACATGCACCTATCCATTCTTAGTTCCAACTTACATACCTGCTTTCCCTTTCAGCATATGTGCTGGACAATCCTATATTTGAACATGCTACATGCTGAGCTTACATTCAGTCCACAGTTCTATAGATATCACATGTACTAACTTAGAAGAAACTAAATTCAGAATGTAATTTGCAGTTTGTAGGAAATATTCCAAAAATGAATAAGGCAAAACTGAATAACACTTCATTAATCTATCCATGTCCCATAGAGACTTAGTTCTTCATTCTACCACACCACTCTATTATGGAGTTTACGGTGTAGACAATTGAGATGTAATTCCTTATTTTGATAAGTAACAAAAGAACTTTTTAGATATGTGCTCGCCACTACAATCAAATTGCAGTTACTTAATATATTTCCTTGGTGCTTCTCCGTTTCAAGTATTAAAAACCTTGAATTACTTAAATCAATAAGACTTGCGGTGCATCAAATAAATATAGTAATATTTTAAGTAATCATTTAGGAACGTCACAAAAATACTCAAAATAATCTCTTACCAGTATGTTCTTTTAACTATACAAACCAGAAGGGATTCATTCTAGATTATCACTAGCTTTATTTCCTTTTGAAGGGAAACATCCCTTAGTAAAATTTTCTTTCAAACGGGATCCACAAATTGGTAGTGCCTCTACTTTTAATGAACCTTAGGGTCCATCCTTGACCAACTTGAAATCCTATTCTGATTAATATGACTTAGATAAAAGTGCAGTTATACTCAATTTCGAAGAACATATTCTCTTATGAGGTAGACTAATATTGTTCTGTTTAGGAGAGACATTATATACGATAACAAGGTCATGCATTCATGTACCACAAGAGATAAAATATTTAACAAACTCAATAACTCAAGAGTAATTCGAAAAATAAAACAAATATCCATCTCTTGCTTTGCTCAGAAACTGGAATTAGATTCCTTCTAACAAAAGGAACATATATTGCATCCTTTAAATTAATGTCTTATCACTATCAAAAGAAAATTTTAATAAGTAATACGACAAATTGCATAAAGTCATTATGGAGCTGAGATAAAACTTTAAATAGATCATAATAAGTCAAAACACTGAATAATAAAATTCAGACTGCATTCAATATATATACATACATGCATCTCGAATAACAAATTTCGATGGGAAAAGAATCATTCATGCAAAGTATATTATATAATATAAAAATTTTACAACCCAGAAAGAAACAGAACCAGCTCAGATGGAGAGCATACCGTTATTTTCAGACAATTGTATATAACCATTTAATACTAAAATTTCAAACACACTACACATATATGTATTTATGCATCTTGAATAACAAATTTCGATGGGAAAAGAAATACTCATGCAACATACATATGTAATGCCATATTATTCATTCAAATAAATTAAAACATACCCAACTCAGATGGAGAGTATACTGTTAATTTAAGTCAAGTGAACATCATAATTAACAGCTCTAGTTCCATTGATCCAACATGTATACTTAGATGGAGAGTATGTACATGATATCAATAACTAGTATTTTACTTAGTGAGCTTACAATAAATTTATCCGATATGGAGGAAGACCTAAAGTCGACACATAAATTTACACTCACTTGAAATTAAAGGTGGAAGACCATAAAAATATATTTCTATCACCACTTAATCATGGTTGCATTATAATTACAAAATGGATTCAACGTGTAAACTCAGATAGAGAGTCAATATATGTTATCAACTACTAGTAATTATACTCAGTAAGTTCATAATAAATTTTCCGATATGGAGGAAGACCTAAAATCAACATATAAATTTACACTCACTTGAAATTAATGGTGGAAGACCATAAAAATATATTTCTATCACC